AAAAAAAAAAAAAAAAAAAAAAAAAAGGAACTTTAAAAAAACTCTAATTAAAAAATATTTAAAACTATAAAGTTCTTCAATTTTTTTTTCTTTTTTTTTTTTTTTAATAGTCCTATTCCTCAAAAATATTTCCCTATATTTGGAATAATGTTAAAAGTGTTTCTATAAAAAATAATTTTTTGTTTTGCGTACCTCCCTTATATATAAACTTCAAAAAAAAAAAAAAGAGTATAATTAAAAAAGCATATTAATGAACTTCAATAGTTTTAACTAATTGCGGAGTTCAATATGTTACATTTTATATACTAAAAATATTTATATATAATGTTAAATAAATGATTTATCTGAAACCTACAAAAGAAAAAGAAAAATTCAAATAAAATAAATATATGGAGTTAATAAATATTAAAAAAAAAAAATATAAATATATATCTAAATATTAATTTTTTTTTTTTTATATAGAGAATAAAATACTATTTGTGAAATTTAACATAAGAAATAACATACATTTAATTTATAAAAAAAAAAAAAGAAAAGCATAAATTCGGATTACTACAGCCTAATAAAATATTATTTTTTTACTTAATTCCCTGCATATTTTGTTATAATTTTCAAAATTAAGTATAAAAATTAATTTTAATTATATTTATATAAAAAAAAAAAAAAATTTTAATATAGAGCGTAAAAATTTAAATTCATAAAATTTTTTATTTTGTAAAAAAAAAAAAAAAAAAAAAAAAAAGTTTGTGGTTTATTAAAATTATATATAATTCATCTATAAAAAAGTATTAACAATATATATATATATATTCATAAAAATAAAATTGCATTTAATTTTAAAATTTTTTTGAGATTTTTACTTTTTTTATACTTTTAAATAATTTTAAAATTATATAAATATAAAAAAAAAAAAAAAAAAAAAAAAAAAAAAAAAAAAAAAAAATTATGATATAAAAATAAGAACTCTAATATTTACATGAAAAAAAAAACTCTTGTATTTTTACAAGATTTAAAAAAAAAATTATATTCATAAATGTGTGATAAATATATTTAAATGATAAATATAATAAATTATATTATGAACATAAAAAAAAAAACCTGAACAGAAAATGAAATATTTTAAATTATTCTATAAATTCTTAAAAAAAAAAAAAAAAAATATGCACACAATTTTAAAAATTTATAAAAATTTGTCAGAAATTAATAACAAAAATGTACACTTTTTTTTAAATAATAATAAGTTTATCATTATAATTTTATGCATGGAAGAAAAAGTATTTTAAGGGATATAAAGTTACAAAATAAATATTAAAAGTTTTAAAAAAAATATTTATTATTTATTTTTTTTTTTAAATTGTTTGAATTTTTCATTCATTTCCTTATAAAAATTCTTAATATATAAATTATTACGCTATTCTATTAAGAAAAGAGAAATGTATAACTCATAACTACATTTAACAGTTCTCATATAAAAGAGAAATATTATAATAACGATTTTAATTAAAATAGGCACATTATTATTTTCCTTAAGAGGGTTCTTTTAGCATATAATAATTAACATAACATAAACCTTTAATTTTGCAATATATTTTTTATAAGAAACAATTGAATATAATTTTATCTTTTACTAAAAGTACTAAATATCATTAAATCACATAAAGAATATAAAAATATTATAAAAAGTTAATTTTAACTGAAAGTAAATTAAGTATTGATATTTTGTAAAAATTGTGTAAAGAAATATTTAATAAAGTCTAACCGTATTATATATACTAAGTTTTTTTATTAAATATAAATTAAATAAAAAGTTAACGTATTTCCTTTGTTCCATAAGTATTTATTACTATTGTGCATTTTTCTTCTTCAAAAATACAAATTTTTATGTATTTTTATATATTGTATTTTAAAAAAAAAAATTGGATTATATCTTTTTTCTTTAAAATTATCAATTAAATCATATGGGAAATATTGCATGTTTAATTAATGAAAATGTACATTTTAATTATTTTTTATAACGTTTATATTAATTTTAATGAAAAATAACAAAATTTATAGTTTTATAAAAAAATAGATTCTCTATTTAAATTAATACATAAACAATGAAATAATATTATTTTTATCTAATTTATTATATTTTTTTTTTTTTTTACTAAAAAATAGTCTTTATTATTTTCACTTTTTTTCATTAAGGAAAGAAAAAAGTTGTAAAAATTAAATTATTACACGATATCATTACCTTTATTGTTTTTTTTTTATTTGAGTATATATTGTATTAAAATCATAATTTCCAAAAATGGACTCATCAGTAAATGTTTTTATTATTTAAAATTTTTATCTACATTTTAAAAACCATATATATATAATTATTTTTCATAATCTTTCATTTTTTTTTAAAATATTTTATTAAATATAAACGTATAATATAGTAGTTTACAATTAACCTTTTCAGAAATTTCATGTTGAAGTTAATGCTGGAAAATGCATATATGATGGTAAAATGGTAAAACCTGATAAAAGAAAAGGGAAACTAGTTCTTTATAAAGTAAAAACAATAAAATAATAATTTAATTTAATATATATATATATATTTTTTGTTTTTTTTTTTTTGTTTAATTTTGTTTATATTTTTATTGAGTTTTATTTTATTTTATAACTATAATATTTTCTAGTGAATTTTCATTTATTTTCTTTTATTATATTTATGTAACAAATATAATTAGATATTTGATAATCTTTATAACTTTCAATGGATTAATAGAGAAAATAATGAAGTAGAGGTAAATAAAAATTTTAGACATTTTTGTTGGAAATGTGTATTTGAAATAATCTTTTATTTATAACATTTTTACTTGTATTTATTGAATAAAAACAAATAATAATTTTTAGGACAATTTAATACTAACAAAAAGTATTTCTCTAGAGAGAGTAGAACAATGTAAAACTGGGAGAGTATATGTACTTAGAAATAAATTACGTGGTTAGAAAAAATATATATTAATTTGGATACTAAAATTAAATTATAAAAATATGTATATATGTGTATAAAAAATAAAAATTTTTTCTTCATACTTTCTTTTTTCTTTTTTAGGAGTAATATCCTTTTATTGGATGCAAGATTATGATGATTCTAAAGACGAAGTAATTTTAAAATATACAACTAATATTCAAAATTTTATTAAAGTAAAAATGAAAAAAATATTGTTATATGTAGATATTTGTAAAGCAGTTTAATTCTATCATAGCAAATGATTTAGCAAAGGGTATAATATATATATTATTATTTTCTTTATTAAACATTCTATACTCAATCTAAAAATTACAATAACTTTTTTTTTTTTTTTCTTTTTTTTAATTTAATTAGATAATATAAATAAAAAAAAATATAATCCAACTGATTATATGCCTGAACTATCTGAATTAATATTTCCTCAAACTAAGAATATACAAAACATAGATTCAAGAAAAGGTTTAAATAAAAATAAAAAACGAAACGATAGATCCATATATATTTATATTTTTTACATGGATAATTATTGTTTTTATAAGACAAAAAAATATATATATATTTTTTTTAATGTTATAGGGGTTTATTTTAAAGATTTATTTACGAATGAGTATTTCTCAAAGCTATTAGAAATACCTGATGCTGCTGAAGAATTAAAAAAGTTAATAAAAACATATAATAAAAATCATGAAATATTTATTAGTATGTGTCTAAATTTATAATAACATAATTTTTCTTTGTAAAAATGTATAGGCATATGCCTGAAGGATATCAAAATAAAGATGATATTATAGACCTTATAAACAGTCGAGCTTTGAATTCAAATTTGAAGGCTCTTGACATATCATTATCTTCACATCTAAATTTTATATTAATTTCATTAAGTATAAATATTATATTTTATTTAAAATTTGTTACATTTAAAATATACATAAATAAAATTTTTTTTTTTTTTTTCATATTATTTGTCTTAGATTTACCACCTCAAGAAAATGAAATAAATGATCGTAAGATATCATAAAAATAATAAATATTTATAATTTTTTTCTTATTGAGCTTATTTTATATAATTTTTTTTTTTATTTTTAAAATTTACAGCAATGGAATATATTGTTGAAACTTTAGAAAAAAAATATAAGAAAGAAGAAAATAATTAAAACATATATATTATGTAGTTTTATTATTAAAAAACAAAAACATAGGTGTGTTTTTCTAATTCTAAAAAAAAAAAAAAAAATTAAGTTAAAATTCAAAAAGACAAGTTTAAATTATTAAAAAAATACATATATATTACATTATTTTGATAATAAATGGGAAGCTAGGCCAATAAAGTAGAGTGCAGATGAAAAAATAATGCCCTTCGTTGCATTACTTTCTATAAAATTTTTCTGAAAAAAAAAAGAAAAAAGATATTAATTTTTAAAAATATAAAAAACTATTTCAGTAAAATATACAAAAATTATAAAATAAAAATTAAAATATATGAACATTATCATTTTTTTTTTTTTTTTTTTTTTTTTTTTAATAATGTATATTAATATATTACCTCTTCCGCATTTATTTCAAAAACACTAGCTATAAACCATCTCGACCAATCAAAACGACGACATAACTCTTTTTTAGGTATTTTCAAGTCAATTTGATCTTTATTATTTTCAATTATTTTGTATAATAGGGAATAAAACAAATCATCCTTATCATACTTTTTATCATATGTAAGTTCTTCATCCAACTCATAAACATTTTTTATTTGAATATTAGTTTTTTCTTTTCTCCATGAAAAATCATTATTTTCATCTATTTTTCCTGTACACACAAAAAAAAAAAAAAAAAAAAAAATATGAAAAAAATATGAAAAAAGATAGATTTATAATATATTATATTGATGACAATATATTACTATAAAAAAAAAACTATACAATAAATAGTATAAATTTAATAAATGAAGTAATATTTATTTTTAAATAGATGTCACAATATATATTATGATTAGTGATAAATATGAAATAAAAAACAAAAGAGATAATGATTTTATAAGAAAATTTAAGTATATATAGAATAATTTTTAAATGTATTAATAATAAACTTACCGTCAATTAATCGAGCATAGAAAATTACTGTATCTTCTAAATTCTTAATAATTTTTGAGTTATTTTCAAAAACATATTCGCAAAAACTAGAAATATAAACTTCAGTATCTTCATCCAAAAAATAAATATCTAATAGCAAAATAGCATTCATTACTAATGGTACTAGAACTCTAAGAGCTTGTATTCTTTCAAAAGGAGTGTAATGACAAAAAATTGGAAGAAATGAAAGAAAAGAATTACTCTCCTGACTAAATCTATATATTATTTCCATGCAAAAATTTAGAGTTATATATAAACAAATAAGTATCCTATATTTTTCATTATCCTTTCCATATGTATATAAAAAACCGAAAATAAAAGAAATAGCAAATTGAAATATAGATATTATAAGAATCTCCACATAAAAAAAATTAGTAATTTCACTTTCTCCAAAATCTCCATACCTATCGTAGTAATATTTTTTTTCCTCATTTGCTAAAACTTCATATGCTTCTCTTATTTTATTGAAACGATCAAGTGAATCTGATTCTTTATTTTTATCAGGATGGTATATTCTTGACATTCTTCTAAAAGATTGTTGTATATCTCCTTTACTTGCATATGAATTTAGATTTAATATTTCATAAAAATTTTTATCCGGTTTTCTTAATTCATATATTCCAACACAAAATAATAATAATAAAGCTAAATAAATTCCATATTCTCGTTTTCCTTTGTTCCATACTCTATTTGAACCAATCAGCCATTTTGTTAGAGGAGCAATTATAATCATATGCATAATTATTTCTTCCATTTTATATTCTTTTGTTTAAATATTAAAAAAAAAAAATTTAAATTAAAAAAAAAAAAAGTGTGAAAAATTTTTGATAAGAAAAAAATTAAAAAAAAAAATTATATTATTAAATACATAATTTTTCATGAAGTTAATCTTGTAATAGTTCTTCAAACTGTATGCATAAATATACTAATAATACACACGAATAAATATTCTTTGACTTTAACTACTCATATAAAATGAAATAATTTCAATTTTATTAGTCATTTTATACAAATGAGTTGCATATAGAAATATATGCATAAATATTTATTCTTTTATATCAATATTATAAATTTAACAAAAAAAAAAAAAAAAAAAAAATTGTAATTTTTAATTTAAAAAGTGTAACAATGTAGGATAAAAATACTACGATGTCATAATTATGTTTTCAAAATGAATAAATGTTATTTAATAGAAAATTTTTTTAATATTTTTATTTTCTATAAACAGAGACTAAATATAAATTTTAACATGAACAAATTTATAACCTCAGAAATTTTCATACACAAAAATCTTAGCTCTAGATAATCTTAATTTTTCATTTTTCAGAATATATAAAAAATTTTAATAAGTTGATGATGGTAAATAAATATAAATAAAATTTATTGGTATTTTTATTCTAAAAAAAAATGAATATTTTTTAAGAAAAATTAAGTACGAACAAAATGTAAAACAAACCAATTTAAAAAAAAAAAAAAAAATTAGAAAATTTTGAAAGTTTATCTTTTTTATAATTTAATAATTATTTTTTTTTTTTTTTAAATCAAATTAAAGCAATTAATATTAAATTAATTTTTTTTTTTAGAATATTTTTTGGATTAATTTTAATGTATAACAAAATATAATTAAACAAAGCAAAAAAAATGTAAAATCTCGAATAGAAGCGTTAATTAAAACACAAAATGAAAAAAAAGAATTAAAAATATTCTTAAAAATAAAAACATTAAAATGCTATTGTATGCATTATTAAAAGAAAATTAAAAATAAAAAAATAACATTCAAATATAAATTATTTACACATTTATAAGGATATATAAAACATGTTCTAACATATGTAATATATAGCAAAAAAGAAAAAAAAAGAAATTTAAACATAATAATTTAAAATGTGAAATAATACAATAGGCATAAATCATACATAATGAAGTTTTGAAATAGTTAATTTAAAGAAAAAATCATTAAAATTTATGAAAAAAACTATATTCATTTAAGCTATACAACTGTTATGTTTTAAATAGCGTATTTTTTTTTTTTTTATAGTTTTCTTCTAGCATTAAATAATTTTTAATAATACATATTAATATTATTGTGCATTAATTTTAATTTTTTGAAACAAAAAAATTTAAATGATATAGGTTATTGATAATGTATATTAATTTTATTTTTCCTTAATTGTATTCGTCTCTTTATGATTTCTTTTGTAGTTAAGTATTTTTCATTAACATCTCCAATTCCTGCATTATAATTACTCCATTCATTACCAGAATGTGAATAGTAATCCATTGGATAAATTTCTCTATATTTTACCGACTTTAATAATACATATGCTTCATATGTATTTAATAAAGGTTTTAAATTGTAGTTACCCCAATCAATTGATAATCTAGGGCACCCAATTTGAATAAATACATCTACATTTTTAAATAATTGTAATTTTTCATTAAAAATTTCAGATAATAAAAGGATAAAAAAGTATATATTTTTTTCTTTTAATATACTAATAATATTTTTTAAAATATTAACATTTCCTTGTCTACCTAGAGTACTTAAAATGATGCATACTGTTTTGCAGTTTATACATTTTTTTATTTCGTTTTTTCTAATTTCATAAAATAGTTTATAATCATATTTTTCTTCTGATAGTACTTTATCAAATGGATTATAACGATAAAAAGAAAAGTCTGGATTATGGATCATTAAGCTTTCTAAATGAAATCTTCCATCAGCTATAAAAATAATCTTTATATTATTTTCTTTTAAAAATTTTCTACATTCATTAATAATATATGATTCATTGTTTTCATTTATGTTACTTTTTATTTCTATATTTTTACATAAATTAGTTTCGATTTCATTATTTTCAGTTTCTTTTTTTTTTTTTATAACTTGTTCATATAAAAAAAGATATAAATTCGGAGATGTACAACCAAGCACTTCTCCTTTAGTTAAAGGTAATACTTGCGGTATAGGTAGAAATGTATCAAAATAATTTTCTGTTTTCAAAATATTATGAACACTGTGTATAATACAGGAAAATTGAATTGTTCCTAATAATAAAATAATATCTTTTTTGTTAAAATTTTTTTTAATTGTTTTTACTAAGTGACTAGAATTTAACTTTATATCAACAAAAACATATATGCATCTTATTTTTGTAACTGTTAGCGGAATTAAACATGAATGACCATAATGGATTATTAAGTCACACTTTAATTTATCACTAGTAAAATCATCAATACAACAACCACCATAAGTTACATCTCCTAATATTATAACTTCCTCTACACAATCACAAAAGAAATAAAAAAGTTCTGAAAGATATAATCCCCATATAAGTAGTCCTTCTGGTAATTGTAAAACAATATTTTTATATTTTTCTTTTAAAATTATATCAATACATTTATATACTTCAAAATTATAATTTTCTGGTAATGATTTTTTTATTGCTCTTTTTAAAATTTCATTATTAAGAATAAACTTCGGTATAGAGCATTGAACTTTTTTTTGTTCATTTATTTTATCTTTTAATGTTATTTCATTCATTATAATTTTGTAAATTTTATGCTTTTTTTATTTTCCTTTTTATAACTTTATATAATCATACTTTTATTAATTTTATATTTTGAATACATAATAAAAAAAAAAAAAAAAAAAAAAAAATTTTT